CGCCTGATTGCCCCCCAACTGCTCCCCACAGCTGGCCTGATTGCCTCTGCCTCAGCCCCTGCTACCATGCCTTTGTCCGGAAGGACGTCCAGAAGATGTCCGGAAGATGTCTGGTCTAATTACCATATTACCCTTTTATTAGTAGAGATACCTTAGGAATGAATTCATCTTTTAACTTTTATATTTGTATAAATATATTGTACAAATAAAAAGTACAGAAAGTATATGGCTTGATGAGTTTTCATAAAATTAATACACCCTTGTCACCAGCACCCAGGAAAGAAATAAAACATTAGCCCCAGGCTGGTGTGGCTCAGTTGGTTGAGTGTTGTCCCATCCAGTGAGAGGTCAATGGTTCAATTCCTGGTCAGGGCACATGCCTGGGTTTTGAGCTTGATCCCCAGTAGGGAGCATGCAAGAGGCAGCCGATCAATGTTTCTCTCTCTCTCACCAATGTTTCTCTATCCCTCTCCCTTCCTCTCTCTCTAGAATCAATAAAAACTATTAAGAATAAATAAATAAATAAAACATTATCAGCACCAGTTACCACACTTAGCCCTCTAAGACTACCATCTGGACCAGCCGTGGGCAAACTACGGCCCGTGGGCCGGATCCGGCCCGTTTGAAACGAATAAAACTAAAAAAATAAAAGACCGTACCCTTTTATGTTTACTTTGAATTTATATTAGTTCACACAAACACTCCATTCATGCTTTTGTTCCACCCTCCGGTCCAGTTTAAGAACCCATTGTGGCCCTCGAGTCAAAAAGTTTGCCCACCCCTGATCTGGACTCTAACCTTATAGATTACTTCTGCTTATTTTGTACTTCATGTAAATGGAATCATGTAGGCACACTCTTTTTTATCTGACTCTTTTCCCTCAAGATTATATTAATGAAAATTATAAATATGAAGTTGTAGATAGTTTTATTCTCTTTGCCATATGATATTCCATTGTATGAATATACTTCAACCTCTTTTTCCATTCTGCTTCTTTTTTCTTCTTCTTCTTTTCCTCTGAGTGAGATGAAAAGGCATTGGGAGAATTTGACCAGCAAAGTGATGTTAGCTGACGTATATTTTTAAAACCTCCTCTGGCTATTATATGAATAGATCAAGAAGGCCAAGATTATTGTACAAAGACTACTTATGGAAGCTATTAGAAAATCCAGGAGAAAGATAATGGTGGCTTAAACTAAGGTAGTATTGGTAGAAGTGGTAAAAAGTGGTCAAATTCTGGGACTATTTTGATGGTAGATTCAACAGGTTTTCCTGATGGATTGAATGAGAGGCATGAGAGAGAAGTTAAGGATGACTCAGGTTTCTGGCCAAAGCAAACTGGAAGTATGGTTTGCTCTTAAATGGAAGAGGGATGATGGCTGTGGGGGTTGGGAAATCAGGTACTCAATTTGGGATATTTTAATTTTAAATGTTCATTGATATCCAAATAGATGTGGAATAGGCAGCTGGATATACAAACTCAGAGTTCAAGGAAGAGGTCCAGGTTGAATATATATATATATATATATTTACATCAGGTAGATGGTATTTTTCATACCATTGGACTTAATATGATCATGGAGAAAGAGCATAAATGGAAGGAGCCAGAGTCCTGGGTATTCTGATGTTAAAGGTCAGGTTGGTGAGAAGGACCCAGCAATCAGAGATGGATAATGCATCTCCATTAAAGAAGAAAATCAAGAGAGTGTGGAGTCCTAAAGGCCAAGAGGTTATCAAGTTTTATTTACTTTTTAAAATTTTTATTTGATTCGCAGAGAGTGAGGAAGGGAGGGAGAGAGGGAGAGAGAGAAACATCAATTTGTTGTGCCACTTATTTATACATTCATTGGTTGATTCTTGTATGTGCCCTGACCAGGAATTGAACCTACAACCTTGGCATATTAGGATGATGCTCTAACCAACTGTCCCACCCAGCCATGGCAGGATATCAGGTTTTAAATGAAGAGTGTTATCAACTGTGTCAAACGCAGCTGATAGGTCAAGTAAAATGAAAATATCTAACGTTGAGTTCCCATTAGATATAGCAACACAAAAAGGTCATTGGTAACCTTGATGAGACAAGTTTCTGGAGTGTGGAGGTGAATGTTTGATTAGAGTATGTTCTAGAAAGAATGGGAGGAAAGGGTTGGAAGACTATGTATAGTATAGCTCTGGAGGCCAGTAGCCCAGATCAAGGTATCCACAGGGTTCGTTTCTTCTGAGGCCTCTCTTCTTGGCATTAGATGGCCATCTGCGCCCTGTGTCCTCACAGCCGGTCCTCTGTGTGTGTCTGTTTGCTAAAGACACCAGTCAGATTGGATTAGGGCCAAACCATGACCTCATTTTGCCCTAATCACCTCTTTAAAGACCCTATTTCTAAGGACAGTCACATTCTGAGGTCCTGGGGATTACAACTTCAACACGAATTTAAAGGGGAGGGAGCACAATTCAGCCCAGAGAGGGGCATTTGAGTATTTTACCAGTGTGGGGCTCTTAGGAGTAATGCTGCCACGAACATTTTTGTACATGTTTTAGTGAACACATGTAGACATTTCCATTTCCTGCAATGTATGTGTCCAGGAATGAAGTTGCTGAATCACAAGGAATGCATATTCAGATTTAGTAAATGCTGCCAAAAGCTTTTCCAAGTGATTGTACCAACTGTCAGTCCCTGGACAATTTACTTTTACAGTGGGTGCCACTCATGGAAGAAGACTATAAGAAACACGCCGAAGATTCTGGAATCAGCCTCCCTGAGAATTTCTCTGTTAGTCAGATCTTTGGCAAGGCCATTTCAGCAAGGAAGATCAACCAACCCATGCTTCAGGCGGTTCTCGCTCTCAGAAAGAAGGGTAAGGATCCAATACTGGCCGTTTTCTGACCCAACCACACCAGAACCCTTGGTAGAGGGTACATCTAAATGTGTTTTGAGGTCACAAATCGTCTGGGCCTTGATGGAAAACTGTCCTTAAAACATAGTCCCAAAGTAAGTTATACCAAATGGCAAAAAGCAGCACTATCAGAATGGCTGGGAAAATGAAAGAATTGAATTTAATAAAGTGACTTTTGCCAGAGACTGCCTTGTGAGCAAAATTCTCTCCTTCTGGTGACATTAGTAATGACCTGAATGACCCAACCTCTTATCACAGTGATGATATAAGGCCTTTTAAACAACTATGATATTTTTTTCAACCTCTGGTTGTCACAGGATGAGCTATGAGTTGGGTGATCTGGATTCAGATGGTGTCAAATGGTCTAGAGTAGACCATGGTCTGCAAACTGCGGCTCGCGAGCCACATGCGGCTCTTTGGCCCCTTGAGCGTGGCTCTTCCTAAGCCTTAGAGTACCCTTATTAAGTTAATAACAATGTACCTACCTATATAGTTTAAGTTTAAAAATTTTGGCTCTCAAAAGAAATTTCAATCATTGTACTGTTGATATTTGGCTCTGTTGACTAATAAGTTTGCCGACCACTGGTCTAAGACATGAGATCATGTTCATTCAATGGCGATTTATTTAATGTCAGAGCCCAAATCTTCATGAGCGTATTTGAAATCATTCCCCCCACTTATCAGTAGACTTGCCTGACTGGCTAAGCCATCCCATTTTTCTCACTCATATCATGTGGGAAGTGTCACACCATCGACTCAGCTGTGTCTCGTCTCCAGTATCTTGGGGTTCTTGCTCCATCTGGTTAGGCAGAGAAAGCCCGGGGGCACTGCTGTCTCTTTTTGCATTTTGAAATGGGAATCAGTCTCTGAAAGCCAAAGCAGGTGTTTTGAAATGCAGTTGAGCAGATTTTGCAGTAACACAGACTGGAAGGTGTACTGGAGGGACAGTCCGGGGGAAGATGCAGCATCTCCATCTGGGCTTCTGAAAGCCCTTAATAAACACAATGGGTTCACTCTCGTGTCCCCGTGTCAGGAGGTGCTTAAGGGTGAAGATGATTCTTTCCCAGTGTCAGAAGATTGATGTAAGTGAGTAGAACCCTACTTGGCTCCAGGCAGAGCTTCTCGGAACAAAGTTCTATAGCTGGTCCATTCACTGGTGACTTCTTGCTCAGGGTTTACAACCTGCATCCTCACCAACAACTGGCTGGATGACAGCACCCAGAGGAGCAGCCTGGCCCAGCTGATGTGTGAACTGAGACCACACTTTGACTTCCTGATAGAGTCATGTCGGATTGGAATGGCCAAGCCTGATCCTCAGATCTACAAATTTATGTTGGACACTTTGAAGGCCAGCCCCAATGAGGTACATAGTAGATGCTTCCTTTCATTGGGAAAGAATGTTCTAGAGATATTGCCAAAAAGAAAAATGGAGGAGTGAGCAGGTTGGGGTTATCTGGAGCCTGGCAGGAAGGTGTAGGTCCAGTGGCAGGTTCTACTTCTCTCAGGCCAGGTCTTAGTTCTAAAGGACTTTTTACCCATCTTTTCTAGAAAGTTCTACCAAAGATAAGCATCTGACCCCTCTCTGTGGCTTTTATAGGACCTTGATCAAAATAGGTATTGAAAACTTCTAGACCAGCTGCCTCAGTTTACCTGTAAAAACAGGTCAACCCTGAGAGATTTTCCCAAAGCCACAGGCTAGTCAGGGTCACCCCACCAAAGGGTGAACAGGAATGGGTTCCAATATTGCAACAGTCTTCCAAGCACCCTTGCACCCCTTAATCCTGACCTATTCTAAAATAATTTTTGCATTGTATTCCCCTACTCTAATTTTCAAAAAGGTGATTGGACCAAGATTAAATTCCTTTCCCTGACATTTCTGACTCTTTCTTATTGGCCCCACCTAACCTACACCTGATCCAATGAAACCCTGAGCTCCATCATTGGGAATTCTTATCAGGCTCAATGAAACCAGGAAGGTCTTTCTCTAAAACTTTGCTTCTGCTCTCCTCAGTTTCTGGGTTAAGCATTATAACAATGCTCTAAATTTTTGTATGCACATAAGTAAATGTATTTTCATTTAGGTCTTTGGGGTTGAAGGAGCTGCTTACAAGTCCAGGCTTGCTCTAATCCAAGATTATAAATAAAAGCACCCATGCTTTCTTCTACTGTTCTAAGAACCTCTTACTCCTTTATTTTTATTAAAATTTATACCTTTGATCCATTCAAAATTTATTTTGAAGTAAGATATGGAGTATCCACTTTTCCCCTCAAACTGGTAAAATCCTATATAATAAAAGGTTAATATGCAAATTGACCAAACAGAGGAACGAACAGTCATTATGACATGCACTGACCACCAGAGGGCAGATGTTCAATGCAGGAGCTCCCCCACAGAAGCCAGAAGCCGGGCCCATGGCTGGCGGGCACATCAGCAGTGGCAGGAGCCTCTCTTGCTTCTGCCTCTGCGGCAGCACTAAGGACATCCCCTGATGGGTCCCGGAGCGTGAGAGGGTGCAGGCTGGGCTAAGGGACCCCCACCCCCAATGCACAAATGTTGTGCACCGGGCCTCTAGTAGCTAAATAATCTTTAAATAATCTTTTTCTTCATCGATTAGACATGACACTTTCATTAGAAGCTAAACTGTAATTTGTATTTGGATCTATTCCTAGACTCTCTTCTATCTCCTTGATTATTATTTTTTGGTTCATTTCTTTATTAGTACCAAACTTTACTTTTTAACCTTTTATAGCTTTGTTTTCTTATCTGCATGTATTACAGTTCTTTTCCAGACATACTTTCTTGTCAATTCATATGTGTTGATCTTTCTAGATGAATTTTAATGTCATTTTGATAGTTTATATTCTTCCTTAATCTTCTCACAGCTTCAAAATTCAGGCTGAAATCAGTAGGTGTATGTGGGAACACATATATCTGTGTGTTTATGTGATTCTTCTGTAATTAAATGTTTTTAATTTTAAGAGTAAAGTTACATGGAGAGAAAAATCATTCTTTATCTCATTATTGTAAAACTAGTGACCTGTCGCGAGAAATTGTGCGAGACCCGGGACCCCTCCCCCTTGCACCATGGGACTGCCCAAGTCCAGGAGTCCCACCCCGCGTGGCTGGTGCACCGTGGGATGGCCCTGAGTCCTGGAGTGCTACCCCAATGCCCTGCCTCTGGGTCGCGCGGAGCAGCTGCCGGCCCTGCCACCACTGTGCATGCTCCCATCTTGTGACGGTGTTATGGTGTGAGGGTCAATTTGCATATTGCTTCTTTATTGCATAGGATAGTCACTATTTACAAATTAATGTATTTATTTCGGTGTTGTCTCTCATGCATGAAGTTCACTTTGGTTGAAGTGATGCTAGTGTCCATGCTATTTGGATTCAGGTTGTTTTCTTGGATGACATCGGGGCCAATCTGAAGCCAGCCCGTGATTTAGGAATGGTCACCATCCTCGTCCGCGACAGTGACATGGCCCTGCAAGAGCTGGAGAAAGTCACCGGGGTGCAGGTAACTGCACATCTGTGCTGAGTGGGATATCCTGTGTCTTGTCTCTGTTTAGGTACATGAGACAAAACAAGTCAGAGAAGTACTGTGGAGGCAGTTCATTGCTCCAGACATGGTTTCCAGGTAGCCCTCCTGGGTGGAAGTTCATTACCCATTGTGCAAGCATCATGGAGTCATTGAAGAACACCTTGTTGCTTTCTCTGCAGTCAATGGACAGAGAAACGATGCTCTGAGAGCAAGAATCTGTACTAGTCAGAGTCAGGGGAACCAAGACAAGAGTGGGGCTTTCAAAGCCACCCCGTTTTACTCTTTCGAGTGAATATTGAAAATCTAGCTGCTAGGTCTGCCCCAGTGGGGGTAGGGAACCCAGCCCTTACCTTGTGTGCCAGGTCATGCCGCTGGCAGTCAGGTGTAGTTGTTGGGTTCCTCCTGGTTTATGCCCTCATGCCAGTCTGAAGGAAGGCTTTTATGTAAAATCTGTCCCTCACACTGAGGACAGGGTGTCCTTAATCACCCCCTGGGGGCTGCCTGGCCATTAGCCTGCTCTGCCAAAGCTGAGGAACCTTTTGCTCTTTTGACTTTACCTAAGATCACCCATCCCACCAAGTTCAGGAGTGACAGTGACACAAACTTTTAGCATAGCTCAGTGCTTTGCTCAGGGTTGTCAGTGTAATGGGAGAGGAGGGAGGAGGGAGCCCATGGATTTCAAAGGCGTCACAACCATTTTCTTAAAGGGAATTGTGTCATTTCCTCGGGCTACCACAAAGCAGCACGGACTGGGTCTGAAACAACAGTCTCACTAGGAGGCTGAAAGTCCAAGATTGAGGTGTTGGCAGGTTGGTTTCTTCTGAGGCCTCTCTCCTGGGCTTGTGGATGGCTGCTCTCTTGCTGTCTTCACACGGTCTTCCCCTGTGTGTGTCCTAATCTTCTCTACTTATAAGGACACCAGTTAAATGGTATTCTTACTCCCCTGGGTCCACCCAGGGACCTCATTTAACCTTAATCACCTCTTTAAAGACCTTCTTCCCAAATACAGTCATATTCTGAGGCCCTGAGGGTTAGGATTTCAACAGAAGGAGACACAATTTAGCTCAGAACAATTGCCTTTTTGTCTTTAACAAATAAATAAAAATGTATAGCTAATGACTTCATAACCTTAAAGCATCTGGCACAAGCGTATTGAGTCCTACAAGCTTGGAAGTCTCACCCAGTAGAGCAGAAAACGGCCAGACTTGGGACCAGAGCATCCACCGGTTTGTCCCACTTACGAGGTTTGCCCCCTCATCACATCTGAGCCACAGATTCCTGTTTTGTAAAATTGGGAAAGGAAGGCATGTCTCGCCCATTTTCTCCTCAGGGGGGTGGGGAAGATACAAGGAAAAATGGAAATCAGTCCCTTCTGAACAGAGACATGCCTCTTATCTCTCAGGAAGGCTGTGGGACTCAGTCATGAACAGGCTTGTAAATTGTACAAACACATGGGAGAACCATTAGAGTAGGAAACCCCCACCCTTTCCACCGTGGAAGCAGTGGGGGCATCACTGGTGAGTGACCTAGGAAGCTGGGAACACATCAAAAGAAGGTCCCCAAGGGACACTGGCCCTAGTGGTCCATGTCTTGACTCCTCTGGCCAGACAAGGCTCATTGCCATCAGAGGGCACCACACTGCCCACCCCCTACCCCATCCCCACTGCCATGCCCCAGGTCCTCTCTAGACACCACAGAGGTGGAGCACTCACCCTGTGTCCCCCTCTGAGAACACCTATGCGGACTCTCCCATGTTTAAAAGGGAGGTGGATTCCACAATTTATTTCTCCCATTTTAGAGGTGAGAATACTGCATGGCCGTGGAGTGCTTCTTCCTCAGGTTGCATCTTTGGGACTAAAGATGAGAAATCGAGCAGCAGAAGTCACTAACATGCTGCTCCATTCACGTACATGTGCTCATTGTCCTTTGTCATCTCTGTCTCCAGGAAACTGACACCAATAAGTTATAGAAGCCCCAAGAACACTTTGTTCAGGAATTTACCTGAATACTGTAAAAAGATGGGTTATCTGAACCCCTAGGACTCCAGAGGACAGAAAGCAGCGTGCAGGCAGAAGACAATCAGCTGAATTGTATCCATATGTTGAAACCCTAAGCCCCAGGACCTCAGAATGTGACTGTACTTATAGATGGAGCCTTTAAATATGTTTATTTCCATTGGTTTTTTATTTTATAGAGAGAGGAAAGGAGGGGGAGAGAGAGAGACATCAATGTGAAAGAGAAATCTCGATCAGCTGCCTTCTGCATGCCCCACACTGGGGATCAAGCCCACAACCTGGGGATGTGTCCTGTGTGGGAATTGAACTGATGACCTTTTGGTGCATGGGATGACCCTCAACCAATGGAGCCACACCAGCCATAGACGGGGTCTTTAAAGAATGAATTAAGGTGAAATGAGGTAATTAAGGTGAACCCTAATCCAGTATGGCTCTTATCCTTATAAGAAGAGGAAATTAGGACAGACACACACACAGGGAAGGCCATGTGAGAACACAGCAAGCAGGTAGCCATCTACAAGCTAAGGAGAGAGGCCGGGAGGAACCAACCCTGTCAACACCTTGATTTAGGATTTCTAGCTTCAAAAATGGTGAGAAAATAA